CTGTGTAGCACACCGAACATGTTCGGAGCTTTTTCGAACGTCCGAACATGTTCGGGTGTTCGGCCGAACGCCACCCGAACGTGTTCGGCCGAACATATGAAAAAAAAAAAAAAAAAAAAAAACTTTGTTTTTTAGTTTTTGATTTTTAACTCGAGTTTGGTTACGAATTTGACCATACCTCCAAGGCAAAATTTGTTTTTTTTTTTTTTTTACATAACATATATTTTTTTTCAGATTTTTTGGAGAACTCTTTTTTTTTTTTTTTTTTTTTTTAATATTTTTATGTTCGCGTTCGGAGAGTTTCGGCGCTCGTTCGCTTTCGGTCCCGAACGTTCGGGTCACCGAACGCGAACACGATGCTACACAGGTCTTAGTCTGGGTAGCACCACGTACGCGTATGCGGTGCGTACGCGTACGTGTCCGAAAACCAGCATACGCGTACGCATTTTTTTTTTTTTTTTTGACTTAGTATACTACTTGAGTCTACTGGGAACTTCCAAGGCCGAACAGATGTGAGGAATGTGTTGTCAGGGGCCCCTGGACAACATGCATATGTTCTGGCTCAGAGGCTTGTTGGGGGCCACAGTCAGAAGACTCAGAACTTCTGAGTCTTCTGACTGTGGCCCCCAACAAGCCTCTGAGTCTTCTGAGTGTGGCCCCCAGCAAGCCTCGTGACCGCCCTAAGTGAAGGCGGGCCTGGATATTCACGAGAGACCCTTGCAAGGAACATGAAAGTGGACGAAGCACAAAAATCCAAATGTCAGCCTCACGTATACACGCCCAGGATTTTCGGCCTCCACGTCCAGCATGCAATGTCGGCCTCATGTATACACGCCCAGGGCCTAACCAACTTTGGTAGCCCTGGGCCTTCTGCGTTTGCAGGCATTTGGACTTCAGTGCACTCCAACCAACTGGCGTGCAGCAACTGTCTGGCACCCATTCGTGAAATGTTGAATGCAAGGCCTCTCGTTAATTTGCAGGCCCGCCTTTACTTAGGGCGGGCACGAGGCTTGCTGGGGGCCCTAGCCCAGTGCATGTGCATGTTGGCAAGGCCCCTTGAGGGCTCAATCCTCACACCCTTATGCAAAGAACATGAATGTGAGCCAAGTACAGAAATTCAAATTGCAAATCACGCTGGAGTCCAAGTAGTCAAGCAAAGAGCAGATACCACATTGGAACCGAGAGCAGATATCACATTGGAACCGAGAGCGAAGTACAAAAATCAAAATTTCAAATCACACTGGAGTCCAAGTAGTCAAGCAAAGAGCAGATAGCGACTGCACCGGGCATTTGAGCCCAGGGCCCGGGTGGTTGTGCCCTGGCCACATGCCTTGTGAGGCGGACACATCACGATGTGGCCACAGGCGAACCAGAAAGCACCAGAGTGACTGATAGTCAGACTTGACAGACTTGCACAGCGACTGACGTGGTACAGAGTGACAGAGAGACAGACAAGCAAACAGGCACACAGACACAGTGACAAGTCACACTGACAAGTTGGTGTCCGTGGAAGACAGACAGAAGTTGAAGTATCTATGTGACTTGTGACCGTGTTTGTGTGCCTGTTTACTTGTCTGTCTGTCTTTCACTCAATCACCTTGTCACGCGAGTCTGTTTGCAAGTCTGGCATACAGACTGACGAACAAACGGATAGACAGGTAGACAGATAGACTGACCAACGGGCAGACATGACAGACATACTGACGTGACAGGGTGACCGAGTGACAAACAGACGGGCTGACTGACAAACATGCAGACATGACAAGACACACACACATGCACAAAACTCAGATTCGCAAACACGTCTTCTCTTCTCAACCTGGGTCTGACAACAACATTTGACAAGGTTATTTGCAAACCTCTCTCTCTCTCTCTCTCTCTCTCTCTCTCTCTCTCTCTCTCTCTCTCTCTCTCTCTCTCTCTCTCTCTCACTGTGCTTGTCCCTCCCCATCAGTCGATGCCATCCTCCGTTTTTTTAATCTGCGAAGCGGCTGCTCCTCATCTGATTCCTCCTCCTCCTCCTCCTCCTCTGCCTGCCCCTCCTCAGCCTTTTCGTCTGCCTGTGTGGGGGCAGAGCGTGGTCGGCCCCTGCCTCTCGAGGATCTTGAAGCAGGAGGCCCTTCGCCTCATTTGGAAGGTGCCTCCTACCCTGCCTGGTCCTTTGCTTGTGTAGTTGGGCGTCCTTTGCCTTTCGAGGATCCTAAACGAGGACGCCCTCTGCCTCTTTTAGGAGCCACGTCTCCTCTCCCTCTCGCAGTCGATGCACCTCCTCGTCCACCTCTCCTACCCCGTGGAGGTCGATAACTGAGAGGATCCCAGGTGGAACCAGAGGTGGACCCCAGATGACCAAGCAGCTGTGAGGGTCTGCTCGGACCGTAGAATGCACACGGCTGCCGCTGCTGCTGCTGCTCCTCCTGCTGCTGCTGCTGCTACTGCTGCTTCTGCCGCTGGTGCTGCTGGTGCTTCTGCTGCTCCTCGTCCCGCTGCTGCCGCTCGGCGTCCTCATGCTCCCCCTGCTGCTGCCGCTCGTGCTGCTGCTCCTCCTGCTGCTCGTCCTGCT